GGCTATACTTGTGAAACTTATATTTAATAAAACTGAATTTACGGATTCTAGCGCCTTTATTTAACTGATTTTACTTATTTTTAATTCCCGACGTTTCGTGTGCTTTACAGCAACCATGGTCACGGGGGGGGGGGGGACTGATATATTTGACGTCCCAATGTCATTGTTAGCCCGGCTACGTTCAGTTTTTGAATATAAATTTTTGGTCCGATTTACGCAAACCGAACTTACAGTATTTTGAAGTCTTGAAGCATACCACTGTATGCTTGGGTTTGGATTTATTTTGGTTAATTATAGGATCCCAAGCAGGTGGCAGCACCCAACCATCTTCTCTATTGAAATTAGGATGTTTTTTAATTTCAATAGCCTCGCGTATCATCCTTGGTAGGAATCGGTGTTCTTTTGCGAGGATTTGTGGTTTATCAAATCTAATATAATGGTGGGGATGATCTTGAACATGTTCACAGACTGGACACTTCCCGGAGCGTCGGTGCTTCACGTCAGCTATATGTTCTTTCACGCGGGTTTTTATGGATTCTATGTAAGAGAGACCACATTCACAATTAACGTACGCTATGGGATTACACTTGACGGATGGTAAAAATTGACTAATCTTCTTCGGCGGCTTGAAGTATGTTTTAATGGAAGCTCGCTTCAAGATGTAGCCAACCTTGTCTGTGACTCCTCTGACATATGGTAGTACAGCAGGCACACGCTCGACTGTGGCCGGCTTCACCCGATCACTGTGACGTAGGCGCGGGATCCGAAGCTTGTTGTCTTGCAACACTTGCTTGACATGCTGCAGCTCGGCGGCCAGATGTTTTCTGTCACAGATCCCTCGTGCTCTCTGAAACAAAGGTTTACCCACGGTAGCTAACTGTGAAGGATGATGGTGAGATTCACCATTTAAATATCGGTTGGTATGGGTCTTTTTTCTATACATAGTGTGACCAATAGTTATCAGGATTTGGAATGACTAAAACATATAGGAAAGCTAAAGAATTATTTGCCTCTAACTCCATTGTGAATTGTATTTTAAAGTTTATAGAGTTAAGGTGGTTTAAAAATGCAGTTACTTTGTCAGATGGTAAAATTGTGAAGGTGTCGTCTACGTACCGCTTGCAGAATCTTGGATTTACAGGAGCAGTAAGAAGGGCTTTCTCCTCGAAGTCCTCCATAAATATGTCGGCGACTATGAGAGATACAGGTGAGCCCATCGCCACACCATCTACTTGCTAGTAGAACTATTACTTCCACAATAGGTAGCCAGATGTGAGGAAATGTTTGAGTAATACTGCATATTCAGCAGGCATGTTGTTATCTCCTAGCTTCCTAGTCATAATTGAGATGCAGTCTTCAATAGGTAGGCATGTGAATAGTGACTGAACATCAATACTGACCATAGTTTCATTGTCAGCGAGATGTAGGTCTTTTATCTCACTAACAAAATAGTATGAATCCCTTGTGTGTGCTCTGGTATGTCCTCTCAGTGGTGACAGTATTTTTGCCAAGTGTTGTGCCAGCTTATAAGTTGGTGAATCGATCTGGCTCACTATAGGACGTAGTGGAGCGTTTGGTTTGTGTATCTTCGGTAACCCATACAACCTTGGTGGTTTGGTACATGATGGTATTAGCGAATTCACGTCGAGATTTAATTTTTCGGAGTATTTCTTTATTAAATCGCTAGTTGCTTGAAGCGTGTTAGTTGTGGGGTCTGTTTTGACCTTTTTATATGTACTTTCGTCCGATAAAAGCTGTAGTATTTTAAAATTATACTCTGACGTGTCCATTATTACCGTAGCGTTTCTTTTATCCGCGCGGAGAATCAATAGCTCTGGTCTGTTCCGTAAGTTAATCAACGCTGTAAATTCGTCTTTAGGAATGTTTGGTTTCGGCACTGCACTACGACGTAACAAGGACGAAATATCTTGACGTATAGCCTCCAAATCTTCCTTACCGATATTATTCTTAAACAGACAGTCCTCAACACTGCAGATAATTTCTTCGTACGGGATTTTTCGCGGTGATAATGCGAAGTTCATTCCCTTCGCTAATACCTTTATTGTCGGTTCGTCCAGTGTATGTTTTGACAGATTATAGACCGTGCGTTGTTTGTTGTTTACGTCTGTGGTCAACGGTTGCGTTTCGTTCTGACGTTGACTTAGATGGTTGGCATTTGATTTGATCGTTAATTTTTGGTATTTTTCTATTTGTTTATTTTTGCATTCATTGTATTTTGATGTTTTTCGTTTGTTTAAAGTTTCAATGCAATTATTAAAATCAAATGTCGTCAAAACTGTCTTTAGTTCCCTGGACAAATTGTCTATGGAGTTATTTATGAAATGTAAATCGAACCGTTTCTGCTGAATCACCGTTCGTAAAAACTTTTTACTTGCCTGATTTAAGATCTTAGCGCTTCCTCGAATGTCCATTTTTGTTGATATTTTGACACACGTAGGAATGAGATTATGGTCTCTGTATCTCTTCAAGAAATTTAAAGATGTTATATATCTTGCGCGAATTTTATTTGCTATTACCAGTCCATACTGGTTCGTTTTGCGTAAATTGGACCAAAAATTAATATTCAAAAACTGAAGGTAGCCGGGCTAACAATGACAATGAGACGTCAAACATCTCAGTCCTCCCGTGACCATGGTTGCTGTAAAGCACCCGAAACGCCGGGAATTAAAAATAAGCAAAATCAGTTAAATAAACGCGCTAGAATCCGTAAATTTAGTTTTATTCAATGTGTAGTGTTCGCGTAAATTTAAGAAAACTTATATTTACAGAAAAATTTTAAGTTACAAGTTAGTTTAGAGATTGAAACAAGTTTTATTTTGAATGTTTCATATATATTATGTAAAACTCAAGTATCACAGCATATTGATAGAAAAATTAAAATCTATAAAGCTTAATACTGTTTTTACACAGTACATATTTCACCACAGACAGTGGATACTCCGGCCTATACATACCATCTATATCTTCCCTGGGCTAAATATAAATTTTTAAAATTTTTTGCCTTTAAATATTGAGCATAAACAATTAAAAGTTATTTTTAAATAGATGCCAATACTAGGCCTAATGATAGCAATAATGAGACTTCTGACTTTGTCATAAATATGATTACTGTATTTATTGCATTTATGAAACCCAGATAAAATACAAAAGATGGCATTAGGAAAGTCCCGATTCATGCAAACACTTTCAATATACATTACAATTTCCATATTGGTATATATATATACTTCACAAAGTTACTTCTGCGTGAACTGGTACTATTCGGCAGGTAGATGGTTCAATCCATTAAGTGTTTTAGATTGATCTAAAAAATCGATATTTTTAATAAACACAAATAATCGATTTTTCGGGTAATCAATTTCAAATAGCCTAGGACAAATTACTTACGTTCTAGAATCGAGCCTATTATTGAACGGAGCCATACAGTTAAGCAGCCGTCAGAAGAAATAGGAAGAAAATGAAGATAGCGCCATTGATATCAGCATTGATATTTTTTTTTTCATTTTATCATAATATTCTTCGTTTACAATTTTTTACAAAAAGAACTTACAAAACGTGGTAAAATAGGCAAGAATCAGCAAAAATTTCAATGAAAACACATTTACTGTAATCTATCTTTATTCAACTTCCTTTTACTTAATGTAACTAATATTGGCATAAAGTTAAATAATCTATTTCTTAATGTAATAATTTCTGCTGACAAACAAATAATAAAAGTGAAGTTATACTCGCTGTTTCTTTTTGTTCTCTAATTCAATACGGGTATCTGAGGAATGAGATTCAAAGATATTTTAAAAAGTTGAACACAGTTGAAGCGGAAAATGTTCATTAGTTTGAGTTTGTTTCCTATTTATATCTAACTTGTTGGAGAATAAATTAGGAATCCGTGCGTAGTTCCGAGTGGCCCGGGGCGAACGCTTCAAAGACCTGCGATCGTGATAACTCAACCACTGGACGTGGTTCCGTGAGGTGTATATGCAGAAGTGAGCCATTCCATAAAAATATAAATTTTCCAACCAAATTTTATTACCGCATGCTTAGTTGCAGAATTTCCTTCAAAAAGTTATAGTAAACGTAAGTTCGAAAGTTTTTAAGAGCTTATTCATTCCAAGTAATGCTACAGTCAAATGTAGAAATGATGGTTAATTTGTGAAGTATTTTTATATACTTCGCGTGTTTTTATTTTCAGGAGTTAAAATGAAGCCTAATAGATTTTTCAGATTAGAAATAAATAATATTAAATATAGAAATAGGACCACCCGCTTTTACAGATAAAAAGCTAGTATAGGTCGTGAGCCGTTTTTTGTACTCCTCTTGGGTGACAACTCATCATCATCTTTGAATTTGTGTTCAAGTTTAGCAGAAGAGACTACTTAACATCAGGTTAACCGTTAGCTTACTCGTAATTTTTGAAGTTTACATTTCTATGGCAATTTTTTAATCACGACCCAACATCTGTACAGATTAAATAAAGTGAACGTTACGAGTACATCTGTGAAAGCATTGTAAAACTTGGGAAATTTACATTAAGTCTACGAATAATTTGTGTTTAAGCACTTAAAATCTTTAGATTGGATCGATTCAGAAACAATTACAAATGCAATATCTGACAAGTATGCAAACGCACTGGATAGATAAGGTAATTTTTTTCAAATGTATAAAAACTAGAAAAATTATATAATATCTAGCATCCTGCATAAGACCATTCTTTCTAGTTGACCGCTCTCATATAGCCTAATGGCCGACGGCTAAATCTCCACATGGTGTTTTGCAGCAGCCTTAGTCAATAGGACCCCTCTCATCTTTAATCGTAAAAGTGGCGATAGTGCTTTATTTATTTGAACATAACATTTTGTTGAAGTATTTTATAAGCAATGATTTTTTATAAAACTCATGTTGAGTTAATATTTTTTTTATTGAATAAAGATCTTTTCACATATCTAGTTTACTTTTACTATAATAATATAATTAATTATACTTCAATTGTAATAATTAACTTGAAAAACAAATGTTAACAATAAAGCTACGAGTGTCGTCAAAGAAGTTGTAAGATGAGGTGCATTACTCATATACCCAAAACGTTTCGCTTGGTGTATTAATTCTAGTAGCGAGTCCATGACTTCTTCATTGTTTGGCAGAATTTGCTCCTCTGGTAGTAAGAATCCATAGTTACCATCATCGCGTAATTCATAGCAATATACCAGCGGGACGTTGAGATGTTCTTTCACCCAATCGACACTACCTCCAGTCGCAAGATCTAAAAACATATATTTTATACGTTATACGTGGCAGAGTTTATTACGGTGTTAGCTCGAATGGATGGCTGTATGATGATGGTAATGAGTTTTGATGCTCTCAAAGAATACCAGTGTAAAATTGTAGTTTAATGCTGCTGTATTTAATATGGTGAGTAGCACCGGAGACCCTTTTTACTGAAAACGAGGTATTCCACTTTAGTCCTCAGAAAGGCAACGCATCTGCATTATGATTCTTAATCTAGGATGGATGTAGAAGTCTACGGGTCACAGCATCCACTTACCATCATGTGCTTATGCTATATATTAAATGATTTTGATTAATATTCAGCTGCTTAACTTTGTTTCGTATGTTCATACTCTGAATCATTTTTAGTTACGACACATATGGCTTCTCACGTTGTTGGAAGGATTTGCCTTGACGATGACGATCGTCGATGACCGTAGTACTGGACGTCTCGTACGCCCGACACTGTTTTCCATCACTGGGGAATGTATAATGATGTAAATACGAAATAGTTGCACCTTTATCTAATAATTTGTAGCCTCTAACAGGATCTTTCGAGGCTTTTCCTAAGTTGCTTCTTACGATATCTATATGATGAAATCGGGTAATAGTACTTAACTCTTTTGCTATCACGTAATACTATATTACTGTAAGTCGTTTGACAAGTGACAGTAAGGATCAGTGACGATGGCGCTCCGGTTTTATATTATTATTCGATTGATAGTTTTTTGGGATTGGACAAAGGTATTTCAAAAATAAAATTAACGTACAAATAGCTTCAGCAATGTTGCCAGTAACGTAACTTGTTTCATAACGAACCGATAGTGCCCCCATAGCTCTTCTACCAATGTTGATCTGAAATATTATAATTATATAATGTAAGAACATCAAAGTTGTTATGGATTGTTATTCATGCATATATAGCATTTTCCTTGGTCAATTTTTCTGTTACCGTAAAGGTGAACTGGAATGAAGTCCTTTCACAGGTTATAACATTATAATTTTGTTTTTATTTTAATAAAAATATTAAATTACGGTACCAAGAAAATCGTAAAAATCGTAAAGAAAATCGTAAAAAATAGCAAACAAAATTATATTTAATTTTGTTTGCTATTTTTTACGATTTTATTTATTTAAAAAAAGTCAATCAAAACTTACTGCATCCTGGTAATTTGCCAAAGGTTCTGTTGTATTACCAAAAGGCAATAAAAGAAGATGGCCGAAGGAATGAAATGAAAGGTATAAGTCGATTTGGTCTCCAATAGTCCTAAGATAAGTGGAGAGAGATCTAGACTCTGGTTCTGAGAAAGGTCCTAGTCCAGCAAAATTGTTTGAAGCAGGGTTGCTACTGGACCCTGCAACTGTCAGATGGAATAAATTTTAGCATTGCACAAAATTACAGGGCTGTTAAATATATTTATTTTAAAATAACATTATATTATGGAGGTCATGGTTCAGATAAATTTATATGAAGTAACAAAATATTTTATATTCATAAGTGAAGCAATTTCGGTCTAAACGTTACACACTCATTTTAATCAGTAAACTGTCAAAAGGAACTAAAGAAAGAAAGAAAAAAATTATCACAGTCATGATTTTAGAAGTGTAAATAAATACACCGACCCATAAACGTCTGCAGTATCAAGAGAATTTCTGGTGCATTAACGGAAGTATTTCATGCCGGCACACTGCTTGCAACTCTAAAAGGCGTAAGTTCGGCCTCACTTAAAATACTGTTCTCATCTCTGGGCCAGAGCATCACAATGCCAGCTCCTTCAACTCGTCCGAATCCAGCGCTGAGCGTCTCGAATCGTCGACGATCGAGTTCTTTGACATCGGCTCAATTCAATGGCGCTGGCGAAGGGATATTGCATCCCTTTGCATTTTATATCGCGTCTACCACGGAGAGTGCTCTAAGGAATTGTTCGGATTAATTCTAGCCGCCAAATTTTGAGAACGCACATCGCGACAAAACTCACGATACCATCCACACTGTCTGGATACTTGGCGGTCCATCACTGTGCGTTTTACTAGGAGTTTTCTTTTCCTCGCACAACCTCTTTGTGCAATTGTTTACCACCAGCGATTTTTACGGACCGATAAAACTTAGGGACTTTCAAGAAAAGAGCTTACTCCTTTCTAAAAGGCCGGCAACGCGCCTACAATTCCTCTGGTGTTGCGGTTGATCATGGGCGGCGGTAGTTACTTACCATCAGATAAGTCGATTGCTCGTTTGAACTATCTTCCTTAAAAAAAAAACATGAACTAAGCCCATGTCTCTGATTATATTGATTAGTTTGCTGAAAAATAATAATTAACTATGATTTATTAAAAATATTCAATTATAAAAGAATGATCCATAACTATAAAATTATTTTGAAATAGCATTGGTTTATTATCTTGTCATAGAAAAAATTGAATTTTTACCGTATGGCTTAATGTTATCAAATAAGTAAAATAAATATATTAATATTCAATTCGCTACTATCCGCTTAATTAAATACAATGATGTGTCTGACCTGGATTGAAGAGCATCTCCCGCCTTCCCTCAATTGCGTGCACTAATCCGTCACTCCCGGCACCACTACTCCCAACACCACTATTCCAGGAAAGACACACCATCGACGATAATACGACACGTGTTTCGTGTATTGCGCGCGAGGCGAGCCGAAACAGTTGTTATTTATACAACTCGCTGATCAACGACTTTTATAAATAGCTGCGTGTGGAGAGCGGAGAGAGTGCTAGTAGTAGTGGTGATGGGATTAATGGTGACGAAGATAGTGTCAGCCTCCGTAGAGTCTACATCATCTGAAGATGCCTCGTGTTGAGGCGAAACACATGTCGTATTATCAAGGGTGGTACGTTGTTCCCAGTGTGGTGGTGCCGGGAGGGGTGGCGCTGAGAGTGTTGATGCTGGAAGTGGTGGTGAATGGGATAGTGCACGCAACAGATGGAGGGTGGGAGGTGGGTGCTCTTCAGATTGGGCAGGACACATCATTGTATTTTATTACGCGTAAATAAGCAAATTATGTTCTAACAACTTTAATATAATAGATTTCCGCAAAGTAACGCCTGATTCTTTTAAATATCGAAAACGTTAAGTATTTGGGCGTCACAATCGACCCAAAACGAACGTGGAACTCTCAACTTACTCACACTCAACGTATGTCATACGGTCGTGTGGTTGGAAATAACTGGGGCTTGCGTCCCAATCCCAATATGATCCCATGGCCTATGATCCACTATTGTCTAGTGTAATAAGGCCAACCAAAAAACAACTGTTGACAGACTAAATAGTCTACAATGAACTGCCTGCTTTTGCTTGCACTTCGTATCTTGCTGACTATACCTGTACTATAACTGTCGCTAAACGGAAACGAAGTTTTAGTACATTAAAACATTTAAAAATTTATCTACGTTTCTACTGTGTCAGAAAAGACTGTCATATCTTGGAATCTTATCCATAGAAAATTCTATTGCCCAGAAGTTAAATTATTCTAAATTCAAAAAATGCAGGCACATAAGCCAGAAAGCTGGCTATTTAGGCTTTTCATTAAGTTTGGTGTTGGTAGTTCTTTTATCTTTTTTAACACTCTCTGCAGAACAACAATTTAAATAAAAGTTCTCAAACAAGATTATTAAATCTTATTATGAGAAATAATCTGTACTACTAGTCAACGCAGCAAGGCAGCATAGTAGCGATGTCGAGTGCAACAGAGTAGAGCGAGCCGAATGGACAACATTTTTTTTAACGAGAATAAGCAGAACAAATTCTATGGCAAGAGCGACAGACACAATTGTGCTTGCCCCGCATATACAACAGTAGATATATGATAGGTCTAATACTATATAAAATCTTGAAAAAGCAACTGCATTGTGTAGGAACACTAAGTATTTATATTTAGAGGGGCACTACTATGAGATCTTGCACCACCTAAAATTTTGCTACGGCCGCCACTGAAAAGAGGGAATCCTACTCTACCAGTACCATTGACAAAAAGATGTTAACAGAAAGCAAAACACATGCTTTTTATTGTAAATAATATCGCTACGGTCATTATAATAAATATCGCACTGAATGTAGTATATGAAAAGTTAGATTATGTTTTTACGAAATACAAAGGCGGCTTATAAATTTAATTGAGAATTGCTGTAGTTTTCGGTTTTTCATGAGGTTTAATTTTGTAAAATAATAATATAAGCGCAAAATTATTTTATAAGTAATAAAAATTTTCATTTTGTTTAGTGTGCGATATATTTGTGTTAAAAGCACCTGTTTAAGCGCTTTTAACCATAGGTAAGTATGGTTAAAAGGTTGACAGTTTTTTGTTTGAAAGTTACAAAATTTTGCAAATATTAGTTTATTCTACGAAATAAGGAGAAAAAGAAGTATAAAGTTGATTTTTTTATTATTATTATTTACTAAACTTGAATGTCACAATGTCACCTGACAAAAAATAAAATTGTACGTAAAATGGAATAACGGCCCGATACCTTTACACGAGAACAAAAATAATCGCGTCAATTAAGTTGATTTTATTATTATTATTATTTACTAAACTTGAATATCACAATGTCACCTGATAAAAATAAAACTGTACGTAAAATGCAACAACGGCCCGGTACCTTTACATGAGAACAAAAATAATCGCGTCATATATTAAAAAGATATTCAAGGGCATGTTATATATGAGGCACATAAAGTATTTTGTATTATTTTTCTTAGAGTACTTTTTAATAAACTCGTTTCGGTCTTGGCGGTGAGTGCTTATTTTATTTAGTTCCCCATCGAGAACATTGGGTGGTGATTCATTATATTTTATATATACCAAAGAATAGTTGGGTGAAGAGTATAAAGGTTTTCCTCTAGCAAAGCCTTATAAAATTGGTAACAACCGTTGTTGTTTTGTTTTATAGGATTTTCGTGATTTTCGTAAAAAAATCATCGGGAAGCGTATCATATATTTGCGCCGAATTGCTAAGGATCTGCTTGTTGTATTATATGTTCTAACGCACGCATACTTGCGCCATCTATCATGAGTGCATATGTATAACAAAATCAAAAAACTATTTTTTTATTAAGATTTTATAAACTGCTGTTGTCTGTTGTTATAACAATTAGCTCCTTCACTATAAACACTAAAACCAGCTGAATTTACAACTTTAAAAAATCTGCGAAGTTTTGATGGTACAGAGCTTTACATATCCACAACACATAAAATTTACTTACCAAGCCAATTGTTGTTCCAGTTTCTGTTCAAGTCTACTCCGAATTCGGAGCCAAAAGGCCGACGGTTTTTACGCCACAATCTGTCCTGTAAAAATATCTTGTTTTATAAAATGAAATATAGAATAAAGTAATCATTCTAAAACTGTGCATGTTAATATTTTTCCTTATAATTTTCATTGAATGAAATTCTGGGCGGTCTCATCGTTCAAATTTGAAAATTGATTGAAGAAGACTGAAGCTTGATACAGAATTTTATCTCTTTCTTTTTCTACCTTTAAAATAACACACCACTTAGCATGGGGTTCTAAAACAGTTATCCATGCTTCGCTAATGGGTTTAGAGATAATTATACTGTCTAGTCTATGGAATTGTGGCCAAGTATTAAAAGAAAACTGGCAAGTAATGAAACTTTTACTGAATGTGTCAAATGTTTCAAATTTATTATAGTAGCTTAAAATTGAATACAATCGCTAAATATGATTATTTCCTAACGTCGTAGTGTAAATAAATCTATTATATAGTTTTGTCCCGTGAACGTCGTTAGCCGACTAAGGGTCCGCAAGTCAGATTTCTAGTTTACTAAGCCGATACGAAGCTATCTAAGATCTAATTATTTTAAAGTCACATTTTGTAGAGTATTTTTCCTGTTGACGGGGACTGCTAAACGTATCGAATACAGTATACCTTCTTTCTATAAGAGAGGCCAATGTAGTAATGAATTATTTACTAACAATTATTATCCATAGAAGAGGAAAACATTTTATATGCCACTGAAAGTGCAATTTAGCTGTATTTATAGATATTTCATTTAAATTGTCTTAATATCTTACCACTTCGTGAGTCCAAACGTAGCCATCGGGATTTGTAACTGGAAATATATACCAATCAAAATCAATAGCAGCAGCCTTAGTTTCCGGGTCGTCACTTGTAAGCAGTTCGTTAATTATATAACAGACAGTGGCTGGTGAGATCCATTCTCTAGAGTGAATACCACCTTCGATAAATATCGCCCTTCGTCCTGATCCATGAGATAATTTTATTCCTTTTATGTCACGGCTTTCGTATGATTGGCCACCAGTAATCAGTGTTACTATGTTGGAGTACGCATCCTTCAGATCTTCCAGCCATGCATTAATGCTATCTAAATCATAATATCTACTCCATGACATACTTCGGATATTATTTCGTGTATAATTTGAGACAAATTGGTTGTCGATTATTCTACAAATTATATAAAGACAACATTTACTAAAAATGTTTTTAAATTTTTGGATAAAATGTTATAATATTATTAATAAGTTTATAGACTTAAAGCATATTTCAAACGTTTTGTAATCATTTTAGATAACACTAACTAAATAATACAAACTAGGTTACAAAAAATAATAATTTAAAAAAATAAAATTATAGAAATTGCTACATTAAGTTAAAATTTCGTTGAATCTGAGACCAAATCTCCGTAAGATATTATACTACCACAAAATACTCACTCTTGAACATTTTCTATTGTAATAACAAATTTCATGTCAGTCTTATTCAGGAAACTTTCCAACCGGCTTCTATCTAGAGGACTTGACAAAACGTTTACGTATTCCGCAGACATCGTGGGATGATTCCAAAAATCGTACTGTGTTTCTTTATTGTATAAGTCTTGAAGAACTCTGACTTGTTGTTCATTTTGGGGAAATATTTTGTATAGAGAGTAATTATCGAAACGCACCTTCTCACTCGATGCACATGCTATCAGCAGAATCATATTTAAGCTTAGTATTTTCATTGTTTTATAATTTATACACATCCGATTAAAAGTCTTATTTACCTTAACGAAGTGTGGCAACTAAAATATTATGTCTTATTGAACATGTATTTTATATTTTATGATAAAGATAACGTGTATTATAATTGATTTCATACATATCTTTAACTCCTAAGTCATAAATAAACAAAGAAGAGGCCACTCTTATCAAATTCAACGTATAGACTACAGACGATTTAATAACGAAGATACGTAATGTTACGAGCTTGAGGTTCGTGACAATAAAAACTGCCGATTAAATTACCAAAATTTACACTTTAATTCACTTTACACTAATTAAAACTTAAAACACTAATAATTAACCACACTGATTCACTTTATTTCGTTCCGAAGCTTCGCTTGTCTCGCCAAATTCAATACTTGCCCCGATCGCGGCATGCGGCGGGTTTAAATACACTTTTACGCCGAAACATCCAGAATATTCCCGTAGATACGGGCGCCGACAGACCAGACGCAGAAAAGTTCGAGTGTGAGGCTTCTAGAAAGCTTAGTTTTTCAATTCGATATTAGATGGCGCTGTTTGTTAAAAGATTAGTCATGTCATTTTCTGGAAAGCTCTCCTCGCTCTGTTATCCGACACTAGATGGCGTTAGTGCCAGACGTCAACTTAGGCGCACAACAGTATTAAAGACATAAATATACCAAATACCAGACAGAACAAAATTCTTTTATAAGATAGTTCGGCTATTCGATTAGAAGAAAAAGTTTGGCTGTAGTGTAGTACTTTACATAGACTATTACATAGTCTAGATCATAGACTATTATATAGTTCATAGAAATGTGATGTTGTCGATAGTATAACGTTCTTTATATTTCTTCTATAACAGTTCGTATCATTTCATTATTGGACACCCCCTTGTAATTTCAGGTGTCAATCAGATTGGTGATCGCACAACTCTGAAATTGGTCTAAGTATTTTCTATTTTATGATATCATAAACGTTCAAGTTTTTAAGATATCAAATGTTATGTCAAAGAGTTAAACTTTTATTTTTTGCATCTTTTCAATAATTTATAGTTCTGCAAGGACACGACTGCGAAGAAAGCGTTAAAGTGAATTTATTGCTAATTTTTAATAACTCATTCTAATGTCATTCAATAATTTATTAATTAAGGAAATGATAAGTATACATATATATATACTTATATACATATTAAATAAATAAAACATAAATAAAAGCCCAACAGATGGAAGCCTTCGGCAGGGGATACCAAACGGCTGGGGGTTAGGGGGAAAGAGAAAGAAACCGGCAGACGATGCGTGCGGTATCGAGGAGCACCGCCTTCTGCATTTGAGCCCGGAGCAGTCCGTCACCAAGTCCCAGTCGCCTTAAATGACCCGAGAGGCTCACTGGGATTAGCCCGTTTGCAGAAACGACTACAGGAATAATTTCAGTCAGCAGACCACCCCATATGTCGATCACCTCGTGAGCCAGGTGCAGATATTTTAATTGCTTATCTGTTTCGGCTTTCGCCAGATTCTCGTCATACGGAATGGTAATGTCGACCAAAAATATCCTTCACTGTACCTGGTCCATCAGCACAATATCAGGCTTATTCGTAAGAATAGTCCTGTTTGTGGTGATGGCCCTGGCGCAATTATTTTCGAGCACGGCTTTCGGTAAGTACTTATAATAAGGCAGTTTCTGATCCACGAGGCCGTATTACAGAGCAAGCTCCTAGTGTCCTCTGCTCTAGGTTGTGCCTATGCATGTAATCATAGTTAGAAAACGCCGAGCAACCGAAAATGACATGCCTAAATGACTCACCGGGACAGGGAACAGGCTCGACAGATGTTGACGGTAATATCCTTTACGAAGTATTTTCGATAGTTGTTGGTGTTAATAACCTGATCCTGTATTGCACAGAGAAAACCCTCAATTTCCCCTTTAAAAGTCACCGAAACATAGCCAGTTGAGGGAGGCGACTGTATCTACGAAAGGCTCATGTAGAGCCTTGTACAACCAACCGTGGAGCTCCTTTTTCTTCCATACGGTTTCGCGGTCAGAAACACTATGTACTCGTACTGTCGGTTCCTGCCACAGCTCGGTGGATCATCTGATCTCGCCAGGAAGTAATTACAGAGGCTGCACACTTCGCGATTATGCATGGTGAGCACGCTTAAAAAAAGCCACAATCGGGCAAGTACAGCCTCCTTCCGACGATCTCGGATGATGCATTCTATGGGACGTCATGGTAGTGCGGATTTTTCTCTCCAGGGCGTTAAGTTCAGTCTGAGTCCACATGAGTATACATGAGGACATGCATGAGCCAACCAACATGCGTATGTCTTATTCACACCGGACAAAAGGATGTTGAGCACTTTGGTCAAGCGTGCATAAAACACGTCGCAAACTGAATGTTTCATACTCACCTCACCGATTCCGATGTTCTGTGACATACCCAGGTATCAGTATGTTTCAGCCTCGGAAAGGGTATTTAAGTCAATGGGCGTAGATAAGTCTATGCCCTTAGAGTTAGCAACCCTTCTACTTTCAACATAGAGGACCGCACACTTATCCGTCTCCAGCTCCATTCTAATAGACTTGCTAAAATCACAAGATATTTAGCAACTCCATAAGGTAGGAGCGAGTGGAAGCGAATAATTATTGATCATCTATATAGAAAAGGTGGGTCATTTTTGTACCTCCTTTCCGAAGCTGGAATCCCCTCGCAGAGCCCTGCAGTAAGGTACTGAGAGTGTTCAAAGAGAGGCAGAACAAGATCGGACTAGGACAGTCGCCCCGGCTTTGAGTGACTTCTGGTCGTGAACCTCTTGAAACTGTCGGAGGAGCACCACATGAGACACCACAAACCCCTTCAGCCAGTAGTGATGCAGCCCGTCGAGTCAAGGCGTACTTCACTAGCGGCGGATGCCGCTTGCCGAGTTCGAGAGGACCCTGCCGACTCTTTTTTTATGAATTTATTGAATATGTTGGATTATGTGTATGTGTAATTTATTAAAATAATCTCCGGGTAAATAAATATCCGGATAGCTGTTGGTGCTGAAGCGCTTGAAAGTAAGTTGATCGTGTTTCTCGATTCGACTTGCTTTAAAGTTGTATGTTTTTAAAATTAGTTTTAAAACAACGTCAGTTGTTTCGAATCGTAAACCGAATCAATTGCTTGGCTTAATATCCATATTTTTCCATACCCTTACAGCCTATATAAGTCGACTGCTGAACGTAGATCTTCCCCGTAGATGCCTATGAGCGAGATCTTGTCATAGTTGCCATGTTGGATATCTGGCTTGGCAACCGCAGTTTTTTTTATTATTTTGAGTTCTCACCAGGAAGATGTTGCTGCCCATCTCCTGTTTCAGATCCTCTCTGTCGCCTCTTATGACACCCACGGGACTATACGGGGTAGTAGATATTCTAACACCGCCACTACATGGATTAATATCCATATTTGAGTTGTTACAACTTGCCGAAATACGTTCAAAATGCCTTACAGTGATCAGCTAATGAGTTTATATATATATATATATATATATATATATATATATATATATATATATATATATATATATATATATATATTACACAGATAGGCTAAAAAAAGAAAACCACATATCAAGAAAAAGAATTATCGGCGCTTGCGATTATGAGTACCATCTACTGGTGCATTATTTATTCAATTAAGAGCTAGCTACGGTTTCGGTAGAACAAAATTACATTCAGTACGAATGAAATTCGATTGAATAAAACTATTTTTCTGGATTTATCTCGTAATTACTATAAGTTCGTACTGTGTAGATGGGATCAAAATTAATAATTATTTTATCTGAAGGGGGATGTGGTTAACTATGAAATTAGGACGTCGAATAATTCAGTACTCATGACCATGGGTGAGTAAATTATTCGAAAGTTCGAGAATATAAAATAAGTTAACATACGCGATAAAATCCGTAAAACCTATTTTTATTTAAATGTGAAATGTTCGCTTTAACATTAGAAATCATTAAAATTCGATTGATTTAGACCTCTATTCTATCGGGAGTAGGCCAGCTGGCCGGTGAAGGGTAGTAGAGTAAAAGGTTTCGGTCGTTTGATACTGTGGTGAAGGTAAAGGCATACCAACAGGTAGCGTGTGAAGTCCATGAACTGCACTACACTAAACTGAAGAAGAAAACATAGAATGATGAATGTCTACTTTAAGAATAGAATTATAAGATTAACATTTTTTTTAAATCGGAAAAATTTAAGGAGCGGGCGTTAAACGCGCTATGTGATAATATATTTTAATGTAATTTTTAACACCTTATAGACGTCCGACAGACTTGAAAATTTGTTATTTGAATTCGTATTAAGGACCGATAAGAACGCAACAATTTAAAGATTATGACATAGTATTCACACTTGAATCATCACAGCTCATGATCAATGCGTTGTTTAAGTTTTCTTAAACTCTAACATTTTATACAAATATCCTCTCGTAAGAAAAGCCCCAACGTTCATAATTTTTTAGGTTGTAAAGTTGATAATTCCAAGATGAACTGTTCCTGATTGATATGAATCATAGTGAAAATCATTTTTATATGTGTAATTTGACATAATATACTCGTACAAATTGCTTTGTAACCGCCTTCTACAAGGAGGAGGTACTCAATTCGACTGCATATTTTTATGTGTGATACTTCAGAACTTTTTTCTGTGTTAACCGATTTTGATGATTCCTATTTTATTTCAAAGCTAGTGCATCAGTGTTCAGTGGACCCATATAAATCCAATCGATCCAAACAAAATCCAAAATCTGACCAATAGTTTTTGAGTTACCCTTAATAATGCATATTTCATTGACTTTGACTATTGATGATATTCTTATTTTATTTATATTAAAAACAATATTTTTTTTTATTTTACCACTTGTGTAGTTACATATACAAAAGACAAATAAGTAGTTGTCTTAACTATCCGTATCTCGTGATACGATGTTATT